GGGGCTTCTTTGCCTGATCTTGACCTCCCTGTGCCTTGGGGGCATTCTGCTGTGCCCCCTTTGGCACCTTCCCCTTGCTCTTTCCCCTGGGGGCTTTTTGGGGCCCCTTCACCCCAGCTGTCAGTGTCACTGAGCTTGCAGAGCTGTCACTGTTGCTGTCACTCTCTCCTGTACTCTCAGCAGCCAGAGCTCTGCTGGGTCCTGAGCGTCCTTTTCGGGGGCCCTGGCGGTGGCCAGCAGCTCTTGGGGGCCCTGCAGGCCCTGTGCCACGAGCCTGGGGCTCCTCAGCAGCTTGGGCATGCTTTGCTCTATCACTGCTGGGCTTCTGAGCTGCTCGAGGCTTGGCCTGGAGGGAAGGGAAGAGAGCAGCTCAGGGTGTTGCTGTGCCATGAGCCACCCCAGCCCACTGCTGGCCCCCACTCACCTTCACTGGCTTCGTCTTCGGCTGCTTGGTGGCTGCTGGCTGCTGCTTGGTGGCACCTGTGGAGAAGGGATGAGTGCAGGCAGGGCCAGGCAGTGTGAGCTCGTTCACATCACCAGCAGCCCTTTACCTGGCTGTTGTGCTCCTGCCACAGGGGCCTTGGTGGCCCCTTTCTGTCCTGGCTTTCGGGGCTGTCCTCTGTCAGGGTCTGCCTGGCCCAGCTTGTGCCGCGGTTTCTTCTGTGCCAGCTGGAGGTGAGAGGGGAGTCAGCAGGGCCGGGCAGCAGCCCAGCCCCAGCCCTGTGGCTGCAGCAGCCCTGGCTCACCTTGAAGGTTCCAGTAGCCCCCACAGCAGAGGAGTTGTGGGGCCGCACCAGCTCCCCACAGCTCAGCCCCTTGCTCAGCGCCTGCTTCAGCAGGTACTTGAGGCGGATGGGGTCCACGCTGGGGTACTTGGCCAGGATGAAGCGTTTGATGGCCACGACGGAGGCACCCTTCTTCTCATCGTGGGCCCGCAGAGCCTCCTTGACCATCTGCAGCGTTGGGGGGTGCTGGGCCTGGCAGCGCCGGGCTATGCCAGAAGCTTTGGCTGCTGGAAGAGGGATCATTTGGGACTGGAGTCCAGTCCCGAGACACTCACACCCCCAGCAGCCTCAAAGCCCTCAGAAGACAAGCAGCCACAACCCTGCCCATCTCTACAGCCCCTCAGACCACAGATCAGAGCCTGAGCCCAAGCTCTGAGGGACCCCACAGCATTTGCAGACCCCTTACCCAGCTGAGGCTCCATAGCAGCACACAAACGCAGGCAGGCACAGGCAACTCCCCCACGGCAGCACAAACCCTCCTACCACACCCAGCTCACCTCCATCCCATTTATCTGATGAGCAGCCTGGCTGCAGGTGCTGGTTGGCAGCTGCTGATTGCTGTGGTGGAAGCCCAGGTGGAAGGCAGGGGCTGGAAGCTGATGGCTCTTTGCCAAAGCTTTGTGAGGGGCTGGAGGGAGAAGGAGCACACCTAACAGAGGGTTTGAAGAAGGATTGAGAGATGGGGAGGCTTTGCAGGGTGATTGCCTCGAACAGGCAGATGAGAGGTGTGTACCTGCTGTAAGGTGGGTGTTGGGGTGCTGGGATTGCAGCTTGCTGACAGCACTTGCTGTGGGGTGCACAGGGCATGGGGAGCCCACAGAGCCATTGCCAGTGTGAAGGTGGGATGTGCTGTCTCCTTTACCGAGTATGGCCTCACTAGGAAATGGGACTCTGATAATGATGGGTGGGGGGAGATTCCACAAGTGAGAGAAGGAAAATTAAGAGCTGCTTGGTTAGCCAGCAGAGGCGGAAGGAACAACTCTCCCCCAGTGCTACAAGCAGGACAACAATTCGCCCCCACCCACTGAATCCCATGTTCAGGGGAGAACACTCCCAGCCATGCCACTTCCATGACCCCTCCATGCAGGCACCTGTGCTTGTGAGGAGAGCCTGAGTAAAACACCAATGGCTCTTTGGTGTAGAAACAGTGCAAATGTCCCCACTGCAGACTGTCCACCTCACTCCCAGGGGTTTTGTGGGCATTGTCTGTTGGAAACATGAGGAAGTTGTACAGCAGGATTACATGACAGCAGGACTGGCTCATGGCCATCTCAGCAATGGACCTGAAGAGAACTGCCCAGAGACCCCTGTCAGGATCTGCACCCACCTCTTGAGCCAGGGGCCAGATCCTGGCTGAGGTGCCAGCAGGAGCCAGGTCTGGAGCAAGGAACTGGGAGACAGACCCATTACCTCGAGCCCCACATGCCCTCCTCCTCCCCAGACCAGCACCAGAACCAGTCTGTTCATTGCTTCATTTCCAGTCCATTTCTGAATTCTCCAGGAAGGGGACAGTGGGGGCACAGGAGAGCTGCTGGGGCTGGCACCACAGAAGGTTTGGGTGCATTTCCTCATCCTGGATCCATCCATCACCTCTCTGGTAGCTCTGTGATGCCTCTGGCACCTGGCTGAGATGGAAGCAGGGTCCCAAACCCTTGCTTGCCCCTTGCACCACCAGCTGCAGCCAGGTGGCACAGGCTGGGGACAGCCTGTGGGCTTGGGGCCAGGCCTTGTGCCAGGGCTGGTACTCCACGGGCAGGAGAACCACAGTGCCAGGCATCACCACACTCCTGTGCGGCACAGCCTCACGGACAGCAAATAAACTCTGAATCCTTCCTTCTCTTCCCTCCAAAACCACCTCCCAGATTTGAAGTACATGAATCAGACATCAGCCTAAACACTGAATTATTCATAAAACTCTAATCTTTAGATTTCACTGAATATGCAGAAGTATCGATAAAAAAAATAATGAGAGAATTGTACTTGCAAATTGCTCTTTATTAAGGGTTTAACTCGCATGGGCTCTATACATTCCCTATTAGTCCTTGCAAAGCTGCATAGGATTAGAAATCAGAGAGGATAATAATGTACAAAAATAGTTTCAAATGTTGATAACACTGAACAGTGAGAAAAACATCTTATTTGTATAACTGAACTAAAAATAAAAATGAAGAACGCTGCTACAATTGCAATATGCCATCTTGTAGTGCTTTGAACATATGTCGGCATGGCTGAGCCATATGCTGCTGGGTCCTGCCTGCTGGGTGTGCAGGAGATCACCCTGCACCCAGCAAGCTCCAGAGCACCAGAGCTGCCCAGAACCTCCTGCCAAGCCAGGGCCAAACTGACCACAGCCAAAACGGGGAGGGACGTGGGCAAGCTTGCTGGGGGCTTGACTCTAGGGGTCCAAAGATGCTAAGGAAGAGAGACAGGACTGCAGGGAAGGGGTGCTGGGGGCATGGGGCAGAGCTGCTGCTGAGGGTGCAAACTCTGTCCTTGTGCTGCTGTGCCGTGCTGGAGGACTGAGCACAGAGCTGTCCTGAGCCATTCATGGCTGTGC